AATAAAGATCCCTCTGAGGAGAGTAGCTCCAGCAAAGCGACAAGAAATAGAGAAGGTCATGGACGGTCTAATTAAGGAAGGGATAGTCGGGACTAATACGACGGGAGCTGACCAGGGACTATCTGACTTCTGTCAAAAGTTGTTGCAAATACGATGACATCGTCCAGGTACACTAGGGCTATCCTCCATTGTAGGCCTTCCAATACTCGTTCCATCAGCCTCTCAAATGTTGCTGGAGCATTACTGAGCCCGAATGGCATCACTCGGTATTGCCAGAGACCTTGGCCATAGCTAAATGCTGTCTTGGGTCTATCTGCTTCAGCCATTTTTACTTGATGGAAACCTGACTTTAAGTCCAGAGTTGAAAACCACCTGGATCCACTTAGGGGCATCAAGAGTATCATCAATTCTTGGCAGTGGGTATGAGTCTTTTTCGGTTATGCTGTTAAGAGCCCTGAAGTCCACACAGCAACGTTGGGTCCCATCCTTCTTCTGAGGAAATGTCCCGGCTAGAGGAAGTATTCAAGCATTTGAAAGCAGCAAACCTCAAACTCCATCCCAAGAAATGCCACTTGTTCCAGAAAGAGGTGCTTTACTTGGGTCACATTGTAAGTGAGCATGGTGTGCAAACTTTCTTGGGATGGAGTTTCTCACTAACAATGTGGCCTAAGTAAAGCACCTCTTTCTGGAACAAATGACAAATGGTGTACAAACTGATCCTGATAAGGTGAAAGCAGTGCATGCCTGGCAACACCAGACACTGTGGGAGAGCTAAGAAGTTTCTTTGGACTCTGTACTTACTACCGCTAATTTGTGAAGGAGTTTGCAACGATAGCTGCTCCACTACATGATTTGACTAAAAAAGGCCAAAAGTTTGAATGGACAGTTTCTTGCCAGCATTCTTTCAAGACGTTGAAGGAAAGATTGGCCTCTGCTCCACTTTTAAGGCTTCCAGATCCCTCACTGCCGTACATACTGGATTGTGACGCTAGTAATGTCGGAATTGGACGAGTGTTGTCTCAGAAAGTGGGCGAAAACGAACATGTGGTGGCCTACTTCAGTAGGGTGTTGAGTAGACCAGAGAGGAACTACTGTGTAACACGGAGGGAACTCCTTGCTATAGTAAAAAGTCTGACATATTTCCATCCTTACCTCTATGGTGCAAGGTTTACCATCAGGACAGACCATGCCACGTTACGCTGGTTAAGATCATTAAAGAACCCAGATCGGAAAAATAGATCCGTTGGATCGGAAAAATAGACCAATATAATTATAATATTGAATATAGA